GTGGAAAAAAAAGAAGGAACCGAAAACATAACACATACGCGATAAAAAAACAATCAGTGATTGATTTTATAAAAACGTTTCAAGTAATTGAAAACCACTACTGTAGGAGCAAGACAGCAAACATGCAGTATTTACAATATGATCTCAATAAAAAAAAAAAATGTAGCGTATATATCAAGTACAATCTGTGGCTGATAAGCAAGTAAAACCTTCATACTTTAGACATGTTTTTAGAACAAATTTTAACATTGGTTTTGGCAGTCCACAAACTAATGAGTGTTCTACCTATATTGCTTATTAGGAACAGATAAAATACGTGAGCAAAGAGCTCGTAAATTGAAGGCTAAGGCTTGTTACACACTATTAAAGGAATCACGTGAAAACTTACTGACTATATCGTTTGATCATCAAAAGAATCAAGTTTTTCTTCGTGCACCAGACCAAAGTGCCTATTACTATAGGCAATTATACAAGTATAACTTAACCATTGTTGTGGGAAATTCAAACGAAGTCAGCTCCACAGTGTATCATTGCTTAACTAATCATTAAATTCCCAACAGTGTAGAGGTTCTTCGTATTATGTCCGATGGATGCGGAGGACAAAACAAGAATTCCGCTATGATAAGCATGATAAGTTACTGGTTGTGTCATAATGCTCCTACAAGTGTAATACGAGTTGAATACATTTTTCCAATAGTTGGACACTCATTTCTCCCATCCGACCGTGTATTCGCACGAATAGAAAAGGAAGTAAAGAAAATAAACATAATCATAAGTCCTCAGGAATACACAGACATATTTGCTCAACTTACTACTGTTATTCCTTTAAAAAATAAAGTGTTTGATTGGAAGAATAGATGCTCCGATATTTTGCGGCCACCGGTTCAGTGGCATTTTTAGTTCCAGTCCAGTAAACGATTCTTATTCAAAAAGAATAAAACACGTGACAACATTCTACTGCAAGGAGAGGTAGCTTATCGTACAGATATTATAAGACAATATGCAAATCGAAACAAAAAGTTAGTTTCATGGCGTATCCAGAGCCCATTCCGACAAGTAGTGTTCAACTTCCGCCTTTGAAATTACGTGATGTCTCTATCAGATCTAGAATAGAAATGACAAGAAACACGTTCATAAAATTGAAGAAATTACTTTGCAACCGTAACCTTAATCTAGAGATTCGCACAAGAATGCTACGTTGTTACGTCTTCTCTACTTTACTATATGGCATGGAAGCGTGGACAATAAAGCAGTCTGAAATCAAAAAATTAAACTCCTTTGAGATGTGGTGCTACAGGAGAATGCATAAAATATCGTGGATTAAAAAAGTAACTAATATAGAGGTGTTACAAAGAATGAAGAAAGAATGTGAAGTCATAAAAACTGTTAAAATTAGAAAGATTCAATATCTGGGACATTTAATGAGGGGTGAGAAGTACGTATTACTGAGGTTGATTATACAAGGGAAGATACAAGGGAAGAGAAACCCAGGACGACGCAAAATGTCCTGGCTGAGAAATTTGAGAGAGTGGTTCGGCTGCAGCTCATTAGAATTGTTCAGAAATGCGGCCAACAAAGTTAAAATAGCGATGATGATTTCCAACCTCCGCTAGGAGAAGGAACCCGAAGAAGACGAAGATGTTTCTGCATTACTCAGCAAGCACTTCGGAGAAAACTGGATGGAATTGCAACTAGAATCATTATTTTATTACAAGAATATTTTAAGTCAGCCTATGGCAGATCACCAAGAAGAAGCGGAGGACGAAAGTTTCTGTGACAATAATAGTGGTGAAGTTGCTTCTCTTGTGGTTTATGGAGAAAAGGTTTAAGAATGACTGAATATATTTACGTTATTTTTTATGTTTGTGTTAAGTGAATACATTTAAGTTTTTATTTGCTTTATTTTTAAATAATAAAATTCAACTAATAATCAATAAACTGCGTGGTGTTGTTTAAAACTACACTCAAGTTATTGTCAAAATACACTACATCCGCCAGTTAAGTTCAAAAGTAGCTACATCCAAATTAACATATTATATAAATAACCTTTGAAATATTTTCTAACATGAATAATTTGTTAAATAACATTAATTGCCTGTCTGCTATATACCCTCAAAAATTTGAATTCATTCATATGTAAAACTTGGTCCCTATTATGTTTTCCCGCCATTTCTCAAAACAGTGATTATTGGATATAGCTAGTTTTGAAACTGAAATAAATTAAAATTTGTATGTCTTCGGCTTTGTATTCGTTGGAAATAGGATAATTAGTATTAAAATATGATGAAAAGAAAATAAAATAATTTTGTTGAAAATCTGATATTTTTTAGATTTTCTACGATTCATCAAGTGAAAAGCAACTGCGCAAAGGTTACGGTTTTCAAAAATGACGTAGATATTAATGGTATGTTAAATTTTTTGTATTATTTTAAGTATTAAAATAAGTTTAATATTTAAATAAAAATAAAACTGTAAAATATATTTGTTTCTTTTAAGTCATAATAACAGATGTACCTATAACTTACGAGCACACACTCTTTTTTTGAAAACAATTAAATACATAACGAAACAGAAAGAATTGTAATAAAACAAATAATTTAAAATAATACAAAATGAATAATGGACATAAATAATACAAAATAATTCAAAACTTACTATAAGTAAAAAATGTTCAGGTATGTAACAGGTGTAACAGATTGCTTGCCATCTTGTACAATACAACAAGCGATTCTATCTTCGAATGATTTATTTACGTTATTTAACATAGCAGGAGTTACTGAAGCAAACGCGTTTGTAGTTCTTAATTTTATGTCATCTCTACTAGTAGGAGGCGCAGCTTATACAATATTTTTAATATAACCCCATTTAAAAAAATCATTAAATATTACACACGAATGTTTATATTTTGACAATTACCAGACCGTAATGTCAGAAAATGACAATGTCATACAATGACATTAATCAACTATATCTTTTGTTTTAAAATCAATATACCGATAATGAGTTTAAATAATTGTAAATTACGCAAAAACTATGAGAATTAAGTACAGGGCATCTTTATACCATTCAAAAGAGGAAACTTTTGTTAGTATTACGATTAATTAATATCCATGGTGTTCCATTTAAAATAAGCCTAATATTGGATATTTAATAATCCAAAATTGAAACTAAGGTTTTAACACCCTGTAAATAAATGTTTAATAATCAATAATGAAATAAATTTGATCATTACCCAACTATTTCTCTGTAAAATAAGTCGAGAATAAGTCTTTAAAAAAAAAAAATTTTGTTTATAATATAGTAAGTTGTGGTTTATTTTATATTATTTATGTTCATTTTATATTATTTTGTATTATTTGTTTTATTAAAATTCTTTCTGATTCGTTGTGTATTAGCAACTATACATATTTTGAAATCAAAAAAAAAATTTTAAATTACGCAAAATCTATCACTCCTAGTTATAGGACATCCATATACCATTCGAAAGTGGATTTTTTAAATATATTAATTCATTAATATATAGGGTGTTCCGTTTAAAATAAGCCTTATATTACACATTGAATAATCCAATAATAAAACTGCAAATTTTGAACACTCTGTATATAAATGTTTAATAATCAATAATGAAATACTTTCAACCAATATCCATGAATTATCAATAATTTAGGTGTATGTTGTTAGGGTTATGAGTCATCCATCTCACTAAAAAATCTATAACTAAAAAAATAAATAATAAAAAATTTATGTTTATTTTATTAATAATTTTTTTATTTTATAAAAACTGACATTATTGTATCTTATGGCAGTATAAATAAATTTTTTGTTTTCTATGTAATACTTATTTGTTTTTGTTTTGTTTCTGGGCCCATACAATTTATTGTTAAGGGGTGGGGGTGCTTCAGAAAAATGCCAAAAAAAGCAGTTTTTTCGATTTTTAGACATTTTCCACGTTGAAAATGATAATAATACCTATGCCGTTCGAAAGAACGGGAAAAACCCATTAAAAAACATTATTTTAAAGTTGGCCAAAAATTTCCGACATAACCTAAAATATTACTGAAAATTTCAAATATTTTTCCTTGGCTCAATTTTCAAGCTAAAAATCTGAAAAAAATCAGGTGGTATTGTATTAATAACTACGCTTTCATGAATTTTTTCAGATTTTTTATAGCAATAAAGCGTCTAAAAAAATTTTCTTTTAATACTTTTTTTCCATAGCGAACCCCCAGAGGCACCTAGGGACTTGAAAATTTAACTGAGTGAGTTTTTATTTATGTCCTTTCGAATAGATAGACCCAAAACTGAATCGAGTATGGTGTAATTTTGACCATCTTATCCCGCTATAGCCTTTATCTTATAGATAAGTAACCGGCAACATCATTTGACGTTAAAACACGGGTACATTTTATTTAATGAATAAATGTCCATCCTTCAGATATCCACCTGTTAGATGGGATTTTATTTATATGGAGATAAAAAGAATAGCACTTTCATGTAAGAAGTTTATTATTTTAAAAATTTAATTTTTAATTCTTTCGAAAATTTTGTTGATCCTAAAACATTGGCTGAGAATTTGTTGATCGGTAAAAAATACAATACAAAACTAGAGCTTTCCCATCAAATTAAATGCCAAATTAGATTTACGCTCGTTTTATACGTAGATCGATTCCATAAGACGAGTTTCTTTTTCAGAAACTCGTTTTTCGGCTTCCAAAGTGGAAGTCGAAACGTCGTTTTCAATTCTCAGCGCGATTCTTCCCCAGAACTTAGTAATTTTCATTTACCTTGTGTCTACTTGTTTTTAGTAATTTTGAGAAGAATTTACGTCTTTTGTTACCTGTTATACCTACTTGTTGAACCTGTTATACTATTATTTATTATTTACGCTATAAACAACTTCTTAAAATATCTGTTTCTCAATTTGAATTTAAGCTACCTAAATTACAGTTCTTGTAAATAATTTTAATAATTTGTAAGACATTTATTATAGCTATACGCACCTGTTATGTAATGCACTTTCTGTTTCCTTAGAGAGTGGAGCAGCTCCACTTAATATTTCCTTAACACTTCTCAGATCGTACTTATCTACTTTTGGACTTTTAGCTAGAAAGACTGCCAAAGGTGGCGCTATCAATAGAGTGCTTATTTTATAATCTTGCACTGTCTTTAAAAAAATATCTTCATCAAAATGTTTCATGATTGCAAGTTCTTCTTTGTTAGCAAGACCGTTTATCATAACATTTAGACCAAATCCGTGGAAAAAGGGCATTAGTGCTAAAGTGGTGTGACCATGAAGTGGACCTATGCTAAAGTCTTCATGTCTAAAATTATGTAATTAGACTATTAAACTGTTAAAATAGAAATAAATATAAAAATATAATTAGTAAATTTATAGAATTGCGCTTAGGAGGATGGATCAGTTCAAAGAAAACTAATGAATTACATAAGACCTAAATATGTAATAGGTAATAGAGCACGTAACAAAACTTAATTAGATCTTTTTATTCGTTCAACCTTTCAGCCTTGTTTTTTAAGGGTAAAATTGTTCTGTTGATATTTTCTTTAATTGACACCTAAATAATAAAAAATTTCAAACCCTCACTTTTCATTTTACAAATTGGTGGCAACTGCCACCAAGAATTTATTAAGGCATAAATAAACATAAAAATATATATAATATTTTATTACAGAAAAAGCATGTATAAGAATATATGATGTTTTATTGGCGTCTTGTATAATAACTTTTGAAAAAATTTCTGTCTTTTAACAAGCACAGAAAGACGGTACACTTTTCACACATCATGCGTGATCTTCTGCTGCATCCTTGAAAACCGTAAGGCTGTTCGTAATCTTTTGTAGGAATTAAAAAGAGAGAAATTTCATTATATCTCACTTCGCTGACAGGTTGTTGCTGTTTCATTCGTTTGAAAGGTTTATCTTTTACAAACATAAAAGAGGAACTTTCAGGTGACTCACTTAAAAGACGATCTCTTTCCGGTGTTATCAGTGGTACTTTAACGAAAGCTAAAGTTTCTTCTAAAGGGGTGTAAGGGATAGTGACGCGCAACATACAGCCTCTCCTATCCAACTGTCAACCTCACCTGCGCGTGTGATGATTTTGATCTCAATCATCCGGTGCACCCTGCTAGACAACTGACGAGGCTCTGGCGACCGAGTGTCTGCCGGAATAAGCAGTCCCCACTTGTTGACCAACTTCGGTTGGTATGCAAGTGAAAGGGCACTCTTTTGTCCAAGTGTCAAGAAATTGGCACTAAAGGCGGAGGAACTATTTACTAGTCAACGGCATAAGGATGTAGAAGGCAAGGAGAAACCACTACATTAAAGATCCATCATGGATATCTCTAGTACGATCATCATGACTGTACAACAAATAGCCTCGTCAACCACTGATCATGGGAATCGGAGACCAGGATCCGGCATGGGAGGTATATCACAAGAAGACCACAGGGCCTCCCGGGTCGTCAACCAGCAAAATCCCTGTGAAGTAGTAAATACCACTCTTAAAAAAAATAGGAAAACACCCAAGAGAGTATTAAAAATTGGTACATGGAATGTTAGAAGTATGTATGATCCAGGCAAAATGCATAATATAATACAAGAAATGCAAAGATTAAATGTCGACATTCTAGGCATTAGTGAGGCAAGGTGGCCAAATTCTGGCAGTTTTTCGACAACAAATGGCATGGTATATTACTCCGGAAACAGTAGTACTCAACACAGACACGGCGTAGCAGTTTTCGTATCTAAGTCTATGATGCAGTCGGTCATTAATTTTACTCCAGTATCAGATCGGCTCTTATTTCTCCAACTACAAACAAACACAAGTAAACTAAATATCATACAGATCTATGCACCTACTGCAGATAAATCCGAGGACGAAATTGAACAATTCTACGAAGAAATCAATAAAGTATTAAAATCGACGAAACCACGAGACATCACCGTAATTCTAGGTGATTTTAACTCAAAAATTGGCAAAGGAAAAAGTGGCAAACATGTAGGAGAATACGGACTCGGTAAAAGAAATGAACGAGGTGACAGACTACTTCAATTCTGCCAGGAGAATAACATGATTGTATCTAATACATTCTTCAACTTACCAAAGAGAAGACTCTATACGTGGAAATCACCCCAGGACAATGGCGAAAGAATAATTCGAAACCAGATTGATTTTTTACTGATAAACGAACGATACAGAAACTCCTTAAAATCCGTTAAAGCTTACCCAGGCGCAGATGTCTTTTCAGACCATAACCCTCTAATAGCGCAAATGAATATTAAACTAAAAAGATTGGAGCAGAAAAGAAGAGCAAATCAGATAGACGTCAGTCATTTATGTAACCTGGAGGTAAAGGAGAAACTGCAAAAATGTATTAATAATAATTTGAAAATACTTCATGAAAAGGAAACATCCCAGCCAACGAACAACATAGATAAAAAATGGCAAAACGTAAAAATGGCAATAACAGGCCCTGCGAAGAAAATTTTGACTAAAGAAAAACCAAAAATAAAGCAAAGTTGGATGACTGATAAGATCCTTCTTCTCATGGACAACCGGAGAATAATGAAAGGAAAAAACGAACAAAGGTATAAACAACTACAGAAAGAAATTAAAATAGAAATCAGAATAGCAAAAGAAGATTTTTATAAAAGAAAATGTGAAGAAATAGAGCAATTGCAGGCAAAACATGATATTTTTAATGTACATAAAAAAGTGAAAGAACTTGCAGGTACACAAAAACGTAAGCAGCCAAATACCCTGTATAATGTCAACGGAAACATAATAACAGAACTAGAAGAACAGTTGAAGACATGGAAAAACTATATTGAAGAACTCTTTGCAGATGATAGACAACAATCTGAGCTAAGTAACATACAAGGAGACGAAGGTCCAGAAATAACGGAAGAGGAAGTAATGTACGCACTAAAAAGAATGAAAAATGGTAAAGCCCCAGGTCCAGATGAAATACCAACGGAAATCCTTAAACTAATAGAAAAAGACTCGATTCGCATTTTAGTTGAACTTTTCAATAGCATTTATACATCAGGAAAAATACCACAAGAATGGCTTTTATCCACCTTTGTTATTATACCAAAAAAGATAAATGCCAAACAATGTAGTGATTATCGTACAATCAGTCTGATGAGCCATGTACTGAAAATATTCCTGAAAATTATACACTCTAGAGTACACACAAAACTGGAACTGGACATCAATAATACCCAGTTTGGATTCCGAAATGGACTCGGAACAAGAGAGGCGTTGTTTGCACTGAACGTTATGTCTCAAAGATGTCTTGACATAAATCAAGATGTATTCATGTGTTTCATAGATTACAACAAGGCCTTTGATAAAGTGCGGCATGATCACCTAATCAGACTCCTGACAGAAAAGAATTTAGATAAACGAGACATCCGACTAATAGCAAATATGTACTACAATCAGAAAGCAGTAGTGAGAGTAGAGAATAATACCACTGAAGAAATTGAAATAAAGCGAGGTGTGAGACAAGGGTGTATACTGTCACCAACCCTGTTTAATCTCTATTCCGAAGACGTAATGAATAGAACACTCTCTGAGCAATCCGTAGGTATTAAAATAAATGGTGTTAGATTAAACAATCTGAGATTTGCCGACGACACCGTTCTGATCGCAGAAACACTTGAAGAGCTACAGACATTGGTGAATAAGATAGCAGACTGCAGCGAAGAATATGGACTATCTTTGAACATAAAGAAAACGAAATTTATGGTAATATCGAAATCAACACAAAATGTCCAAAATTTATATTTACACAATGAAATTATCGATCGAGTTAGCAAATACAAATATTTAGGCACTTTTATAAATGAAGACAACGATAGCTCAGCGGAAATCAAAATAAGAATAGAAAAAGCCAGATCCATATTCACTAAAATGAAGAGAGTGTTCTGCGGAAGAGATTTGAGCCTTGAAATGAAACTTCGCCTGATGAGATGTTACGTACTTTCTGTGCTGTTTTACGGAATGGAGTCATGGACGTTAAAAAAGATTGATATCAAAAAATTAGAGGCATTTGAACTGTGGATGTATCGCAGAATCCTGAGAATATCATGGACCGAGAGAGTCACAAATGTCGAGGTCTTGAGAAGAATGAACAAAGAAAAGGAAGTCATATTTACAATCAAAAAACGAAAACTGCAATACTTGGGCCACATTACAAGAGGCGAAAGATATGAACTGCTTCGAATAATTATGCAAGGGAAAATAGCAGGAAAAAGGTCCATAGGAAGAAGACGAAACTCCTGGCTAAAGAATCTACGGGAATGGTATAGTTGTAGCAACAACGAATTGTTTCGGTCAGCAGTTTCGAAAATACGTATAGCCCTGATGATCGCCAACCTTCGGAACGAAGATGGCACTTGAAGAAGAAGAAGAAGAAAGTTTCTGCAACGTAAAACGTGAATTTCAATAAATCTATTTTCCTATTTTTAGGTTTTTATTATATTCACGGCGATACTCTAATCATGAGTTGCACACTACCACATTGAAATAGAGAAACATTATTCGTAGAGTCCACTTCTTACTTCTAATAAACGTTCTATAAAGTGATACAAGGAACTCATTTTTATCCACGCCGTCCATATTTTAATTTTAAAGTTTTATTACTGCTGGACTTTTAACTTGTACATATGTTTTTGTTTTTTTTATCCTAACGTTTCACAGTATCAATAGGCTCTAAAGGCGCGTTTTCACGGGTCGATCTGAGTCAAACGATTTGGATCGTTCGACCATCATTCGATCTGTGCCGAAAGCAAAAAGGTTTACACGACAGTCGATGAATGTTGAATTAATTTTAGTACAAAATGGCGTCACGTGAAATTATTAATGTAGGTGTGCAATTAATTTGTCATGCAATTCGAGAAGAAATCGCAAAATCAAACAAAAAGAAAAATAAACGAAGGTGTTGGACCCGACCGTGGATTTTAAGACGAAATACTCATGGTGCATCACAAAACCTACTCCAAGAATTGGTTGTGGAAGATCCAGAGGCTTATAGAAATCATTTAAGAATGGATAATGCACATTTTAAAAAACTTTTAGAAAAAAACTGCTGGGAAAATTCAAAAAAACGATACAAATATGCGTGAAGCATTGCCGGCAAGGCTGAAATTGCAAATAGCTCTTCGATTTCTAGCCACTGGAGACAGCTGTGCGTCACTCGAAGCATTGTATCGAGTACCAAAATGTTCAATATCGCTATTTTTGCCGGAAGTGTTGGATGCTATATATGAAGGACTTTAAGATTATATAAAGGTT